TTTTTTTTTTTTTTTTTTTTTTTTTTTTTTTTTTCTTTATAAAAAAATATTTCATTACATACCTAGTTAATTATTAATTTTATTATTCTAAATTCAATTTATTTTAATTATATAAAAAAAGCATCAATATTTTATGTATTTTGAATTATTTAATTTCTATTATTTCGTAATATTAATTAAAAATAACAAAAAAAAAAAAAAATAAAATAAAATATAAAAAAAGTATAATATATTTTAAGCATTTCTATTTCTTTTTTTATTATTTTTTCTTAAGTAAAATAAAATATTCTTTTTTATTTTAAATTGAGATGTGCAATGAAAAATTAATATTTTTTAACATTTTTAATTATTCTACATTTATTATTTTCTTGTAGGAAATGAAATAAATATAAAATAAAATTAATAATATTCACTTTGACTAGAGATTGTTTTTATTGTTATTAATACAATGTATAATTTATATTTATATATTTAAGAATTTTAGAAAATGAAAATTTATAATAAAAAATAAAATAGTTATTTAAATTCTGAATATTCAATAATTATGTATATTATTTCGTTGAAGTGTTATTATTTTATTTTGATGAAATTCTAATTTTACTGAATAAAAATTGAAAAGTTTAAATGATAAAAATGATATTATGTTTAAAAAAATTTTTAGTAGAGAAATAGGAGAAACAGAAATTATTACATCTAAATTTTTAGTATTAAGTAATGAAAAAATTAATATTAAACAGATTACTCAAAAATACAATAAGAATATTTTGAAATAGTGAAATTGTTAATATCTCAAAAGTTTTAATAATTTTATATATAATTAACAAAAATATTGTTAATTATATTTAAACTAATTCTTTTAACAAAATAATTCATTTAATTATATTATAAATTATGTTACTTATATTTTAATGAGTAATATCAAAATTAAGATTTTTTTTTTTTTTTTTTTTTTGTAGGTATATGTATTACAAAAATATATTTTTTTTTTTTGTGAAATAAAAAAAAAATTTTAATAAAGAGCATATATTTTTTTTTTTTTTTTTTTTTATAATATGTAAATATTTTGAAAAAATTTTTTTTTTATTATTTTTAATCTCTTCTCACATATATATATATATATATATACATGTAAAAATAAACACATTTTTCAAATAATAAAAAAAGTCTATACTGAATAGAAAGTAAAAATGGGAAATACAACGTCAAAAGATGAAGAAAATCAAAAAAGAAATTTAATTTTATTAGATGATAACTTTTTGCATAACTTTCAAAAAAAGGATAATACTATTTTTGAAAAAAAATTAAATAATATAGAAAAAGATGACAACCTACATAAAAATAATATACCAACAAAAATAAATGGAAGTGTAAAATCAACTAAATCAGAAGACCCATTAAATTATAAGGGTAAATTTATGCAAACTGAAATTTCAAGATAATATATATATATTAATTTATAAGAACATTTAATGATAAAATAATTCGAATAAAAATAAAAGAAAAATTCTCTTCATATTTATAAATATATATTTAGGAAAACATATTTAATTTTATATAAATACTTTATATCTTTATACTCTGCTTATGAAAAAAGACAAAATATTTTTATATTATTTTATTTATAAATAAAAAATTATTGTTCTATTATTTATTTTATAGGTGAAGAATATGATAAACTAAGGAAAATGGTAATAGATGATTTAATTATAGAAAGTGAAAAATATATAAGTATGCATAAAGATAAATTAAATAATATTAACAAAGATAATTTAAAAATTCCTCAAACAAACAATGAATGCTTATATAATGAAAATAAAATATATGACTGCCTTAAAAATATGAATGAATCTACTTCTGATTTTATTAACTCATATACGAGATGTTATAGATACTTGAGGAAATATGAAAGCTGTGTTCAAAAAATAAAAATTTAATTTTATTAAATAATCTTTTTTTAAGAATTAAAAAGTTTATAAGTTTTTTAATATTTCAATTTTTATCTCATATAATTTTTTTTTTTTTTTTTTTTTTTTTTTTGTGTTTTAACAGTTTTATGTTTTTTTTAAATTAATTATGTATTTTACTTAATGGTTTTATCTTTTATTAAAATTATTTCAGTAAATTAATATTACTAATATATAATAAGTTACATTGTATATTCTGAAATATTTTTATTCTATATTTTATATGTTTTAAGTCAGATGTATATATATGTAAATTAGTAAAAAATACTAAATAATATCTTTAAAATTAAAGTTCTATATTTTTTTTTTTTTTTTTTTGGTTTTNTAAAAAAAAAAAAAAAAAAAAAAAAAAAAAAGTGAAATAACTAATTTATTGTAATTAAAATAATATTCCTTTAAAAAATAAAAAATTACCATAAAAAAAATAATTTTAATTTCAAATTTATTATAAATGAAAAAAAATATATATATATAAATTTCTTTTTTCTTTTTTTTTTTTTTTTTTTAATCTTAAACTCGGATCTTAATTTGAACAGAATTATTTCTTTAAATAGAAAAATGATATATATATTTATAATAATATAAAGGAATTATATATAGTTATATATATAGAGGGAGAGACAGAGAGAGAATAAATATGGAAGAAGATTTTAATATTGATGAAGATTATATAAAGAAATTATCTGAAAAATATAAAAATGTTGATCACCCATTATTTATGAGTGAGCTTCCGAAAAATATTGAAGAGAATGAAGATCTAGAGGCATTATATAATTTAATGATATCTGATGAAAATCCTATAAGTTTAGCTAAAAACTATAAAGAAGTAGGAAATGATTATTTTAAAGATGGAGTTAAATATTATGAAGATGCTATTATTAGTTATAATAAGGGTATAGATATTTTAAACAGTTATATTAATTCAATTAATAATGATAAATTAAAAAAACAAAATAATCTTAATCATGTGACTAATAAAAAATATAATAATGATGAACAAATAAAATTAATAAATGAAAACAACTGCAACAACGGTTGCATATTAGATAAAGATAGCAACACAATGAATGAGAAAAAATTGAAAGAAGAGTGCGAAAATAATTTTATCACGACTAACGTAAGTAATAATACAAATAAAAATGAAGCTATAAATTTATTATCAGATATATATTGTAATAAATCAATAATCCATTATAAAAAAAAAAGATATGTAAAGTGCTTAGACGATTGTAAAAAAGCGCTTTCATATAATAATAAAAAATATAAATGTTTATATTTTTGTGCATTATGTTCATATCATATGGAATTATATAATGATGCATATAAATATATTAAAATATTTGACGATCTAATAAAAGATGAAAACATAAGAAGCTTAATAAATATAAATGATTATGAAAAATTGAAAAACCAAATTTTAGAAAAATATGAAAATTTTTTACATAGAAAGAAAATAAAGGAAGATGAAAAAAAAATTATTATAGAGAAACAAAAAAATGAAATGAATAAAATTGAAAATATATTACGAAAAAGAGACATTACTATATTAGAAAACATTTATAATAATGATAATATTACACCAGTACTATATCTAGATGAAAATAGGTATATACATTTTACAGTATTTTTAATATATTTTGAAACAAACTTTATTGATACCATATTAGATTTCGCTGAAAATACACGCATAATAGATTATTTTGATATTATAAAAAAAAATAAAGAAAATGAATTACTTTTTTGTTATTTAGAATTTCCTGATGATAAATTTTACTTTATTAATAAATATTCCTATATCTGTGATATCATAAATAAAATAAAATTATTTACACCCATCATTTCTTTACATATTATTGAAAATGCTGATGCTAATAACACTTTTAAAAGTAACAAAAATATTTTTTTTATTGAAGAATAAGTAAAAAGAAAATATAAATAAAAAAAAAAAAATATATAAATATGAAAAAATATATATTAACATTTCAAATAATATAATTGTGTATGCATAATTTCTTTATTTTTAATTAATCATATCACTATTTATTTATGGCTAAAAGATAAATATTCCTTCTTTATATCATTTTATTATCTTCATAATTTTTATTTTTTTTATAATAAAAAATACTTTTTTGAGTTTTTTTTTTTTTTTTTCTTTAATAAATAAAACATATGTAAATTTTTTGTAAAGAATTAAAATGTCATTTTTTTTTTTTTTCCTAAAAATGTAAAAAAGAAAATATAATTCTTATCAGTTCATGCGATTTTCTACAAATAAAAGCTTCGACTTTTTTCAGTCCGCCCATCGCTAATAAGTTATTCATCATTTTAAGAATTATTTAAAGAAATATTTTATTCGTTAAAATATTTATATGTATTTTTATATGTAATGGAAATTTTAGAAACAAGTATTTTAAATCTTCATATTTAATTCATAAAAATATTTAATTAAACTTCTTAAAAAAAAAAAAAATTAAAAAGGATTTTTGTTTTTAAATAATTTTAGATTTTATAAATAAATATATATAAAAAAAAATTTTTTATAATGAAAATAAAATTTCACAAATGCATATTTTTTTTTTTTTTTTTTTTTATAAAGGTTGTAAAAAAAAAAAAAATTAAATCTCATAGAGTTTAAAGGGGTTGTTTATTGATGTTATATATCTTTTTTTTTTTTTTCCTTCATCTTTTTTTTTGTTAATAATCTTTAATTTAATAAAAAAAAAATTTTAAATGAAACTTTATGTAAAAATTACTTTAGGTTTTGCATTTTCTTATATTATAAATTAAAATAAATTAGGATGTTTAAATCTTCCAATATTTTTATGTCCATTCATTTAATTAAAATATTATTATTTTTACTGACTTTATTATATCTTAAACTTATAATTATTCAGTATCATTTAACACTTAATTTAAAAAAAAAAAAAAAAAAAAAAAAAAAAAGTATAATAAATAAAAATAATTCCTAATCATTTTTTTTTTTTTTTTATAAAACTTGTAAAATTGTTTTAGAAACTACTGTGTGTTTGTAAACACATTTTTATTTAAACAACAAAAGATGAAAAAAAAAAAAAAAATGAAAAAAAAGAAATTGGGCCATAAAAACAATTATTAATCAAAAAAAAAAAAAAAAAAAAAAAAAAAAATTATAGACAAAAATTAAAAAAAAAAAATAATATGAAAATCGGGAAAACATTTTATGAATATATTTATAAACATATTGTAATTATGTAGAATGTTTTGATATAATTGTGCCTAATGAAAATGAAGGTGTATATATATCACTTTGTTTGTATTTCATTAAAATTTTAGAATTTGAGATTTTATCTTTCATAGTTCTTTGAACTATGTTAAAAGTATCAAAGAGAGAATCAAATTTTTCTTTAATTAAATTTAAATCAATTGGTTTTGGTACATTCATATTAATATTTTTTTTCTTTGTAATTAAACGATTCGAATATTTTGATATAACATTTTGAAATCTCATTTCATATTCTAATTGCAATTCTTTTAATAAATTGCTGTATTTCATATTTATTTGTTCGTACGATTGTAAAATTTCTTTCCTTATATATCTAAAATAATCTATGATTTGTATTTTTATATATCTTTTATTATATTGAATTAATGTATAAGCCTTTATTAAATATTTAGCTGATAAATTTTCTAAATTATCTTCCTTTTTTAATATATCTAAAAAGGCAGAATCATAATTATTGAATTTTACCTTTTTTATAGGATAAGGTGAATCAATGTTATTTTTCAGATAGTAATCATTGCTATTATTAAATGTATTTGTGCTTATTCTTTTTTTATTTTTGCTACTTAAGTAATTTTGTTCTATATGTGATTCTTTTAATTTATGTTCTTTTTGTACTTCATTATTTAAAATAATTTCATTACTTGGCTCATCATTTCCTAATATACTTACAATTTCTGAATATTCTTTTGTTGCATTTCTATTATTTTTTTGTATATCATCAAACGTTTTCACATTTTCTATTTTATCGTTTTTATATGTATTCACATTTTCAGATAATTCTTTTTCACCTAAAATGTTCTTTATTTTTAATTCATTTTGTTTCTCTTCTTTATATGTTTTTTTAGAATACATTTTACTTCCATGACATGATATATTCCCTAAATTTTCTTTTTTCTCTTTGCATATATTATCTATTTTACTAATTAGAATATTATCATTTTTAGTATCATTTGATATCCTCATTTTATTACATTCATCATATTTTTTTAAGCTTTGTATGCATTCATCAATGCTTTTTTGTTTTTCATCATAGTTAAGTAATTCTTTAACTATTTCAATGGGAGATTTGATAATGTTGTCATTCTTATTTAAATAAATGTTTTGTGAGTAATTTGAAGTGTTTCCTTCATTTTCTGTATCAAATTTCAAATTTTCCACAGTATTATCATGAAACAAGTTTTTTTGATTATCTCCACTACCAAAATTTTTTAATATATTCTTTGTTTTATTTATGTTTTTATCTAAATCACACTTAGAGTTTATATTATCTTTCTTTGATTGAATTATTTCAGAAGCTTCTTTATTATGCATATTCTTTTTATCAATATTTTTATTAACATCTTTTTTTTCATAGCTATCAACTTTTTTTTCTTTATTTTCATTTCTTTCACATTCATTTATATAATTTTCCTCATTTTTTTCGCTATGATTATGGTATGTTTTGTTTTGAACTGAACTATTTCGTACTACCTGAATATCCATTTTTATATTTTTGTTATTTGAATTTTGCATTTTAGGAGAATTATCATTTATTACATTATTTATTATATTCTGATTTTGACTATAATTATTTAATTTAGTATTTTGGTTATTTTTTTCTTCAAATAAATTGACTGTCAATACATTTTCATGATTATTTAAAGCCATTTCATTATTAAATGCACACATATTTTCATTAAAAGTTTTACTTAAATTGCATACATTCATTGTAGATGATTCATTTAATGAACATTCATAAAACTGATTACTACCCATACTATCATCATCATATATATCGCTTTCTTTTATTAGATCCTTAGTAGTTGCATAACTAATTTTAGGATTACCTTCATTTGTTTTGACCTCATTTCCTTTTTTTAATGAAATATTTTCATTTAAGTTCATTGAATTATTAAATAATGAATCCAATATATCATTGTTGACTAAGTTTTTAATCTCCAAACTTTTATCATGATTTGTTATATCATTATTATTGCATTCTATGTTGTTTAATGAATCATCTAATAATACAGTTTTAGTTTTAACTGAAATATTATCATTTAATAAACAAATTTCTTTTGTTGTTGCAAAACTAACTTTCCTTCTTTCAACTTTTTCTTTACTATTGTCGTTATTTTTTATTAACTTATTTGGGTCATTGTTTATATCATTTTTTAATTTACTTAAATATAAATTGTCTTTTAAATAAATACCTTCCCCTTCTTCTTTTTTCTCATCATTATCATCACTAATATTTTCAATTTCTATTACATTATTTATTAAACTATTTACTTTTTTTTTTATCGATTCTGCACTAAAACTTATAGATATTTCCACATTATCAAGAAGTCGATCTTCAAAATTTTTTCTTAATTTATTAGAGAGAACTCCTACAAAAAAAAAAAAAAAAAAAAAAAAAAATATATATATATATATATATATATATATATATATATATATATATATATATATATATATATAAATATATGTATATAATTATTAACATATTTATTGAATTAATATCTAACCTATAGCATCATTTTTTTTAAAGTAGAAAGTAATTATTTTTGAATTTTCCTCGTCTTTTATTTTCATTCTGTCATATGATAGCACCATAAGTAATTTATTCTTGGTATTATAAAAATATGCATAAAATATATTCATTAATAAACTACCTTTATAGCCATTTGGAGTTAAAATTATTTTGTCCAACACTTCCTTTTCCTCATGATTATGATTAAATGTTTTAACAAAAATAATACTATTATTTATATATATATATGAATTATCTTTTAAATAATCTATATTTATATCTTTTTCTTTTGTTAAAGTCAAATAATAATTTATTTTTTTACTTATTAAATTATTTACCTGACTACGAAAGGTAAAATTGTCAATTTTTTTTTCAGTAGTGTATTTATGTATAATTTTAAGTAAAGAAAGAATTTTTTTTTTTATTTCTATGTCAGGTACATTTTCGTATTCTTTTATAATAATATTTATATAATTTTCAAAATTATTAATATTTTGTATCTCTTCTGTATTTTGAAAAATATTCAATAATAAATCAAAAGCTATTTCTATTATTTTAATACGAGAATAACCTTTCTGAATGTAATTAATATCAATTTCTTCTGTTTTTAAATTATTTAAAATTTCATTTAATAAGGATAAATGAAATGATATAATATGTAATAAGGATTTATAAAAATTACTTAGTTCTACATTATAACGATTCCATATTTCTATTAAATTTGTAACGTTATTTAAATCTAAGACAAAAAAGAAAAATGTTCTTTCAAATAATAAAAAGCTATCATCTGAAAATTTGTTTTCATTTAAGCATATATCTATTATAATATTTAAATTTTTAAAGAAATTCTCGTTTATTTCATCTTTAATGTTAATGCATTTATTAATACAATATCGAACAAAATACATACATTCATGAGCTAATAAAGTCATATGACTATTTAGAGAATTAATACATATATCTATAATTCTATCTATAACTTTATAATTAAAAGTAAAATTAGATTCAATATCTATTTCTATTAAATCATGTAAAAATATTGATAATGAACATTCTCCTTCCTCCTCAGCTGCATTTAACTCTTGAATGATGTTACTATTATATTCTTCAATGTCTATATCATTCATTTTTACAACTTTTTTTTTTTTTTTTTTTTTTACTATATTAACAAAAAATGAAAAAAAAAGATAAAAAAAAAAAAAAAAAAAGAACAAAAAAGAATTATCGAATTAATATATGATTTAAAAAAAAAATGTTAATTTAACAATTAAAAATTATAAAATACATAAGGCTACATATATAAAAATTTTAAAATAAAACAAACAGAAATTAAAAAAAAAAAAAAACTAAATTTTAAACCAATATAAATAAGAAATAAATATGTATTTTTTTTTTTTTTTTCATCAAAACTATAAAAACTAAAATTTTCCATTAATTTCAAATATTGACATATAGAATATGCACACTATTTTTTTTTTTTTTTTTTTTTTTTTTATAATGATTTTTGCTAACTATTATATTAATAAATAGAAAAAGACAACAGAGTATTTTCCCCTGTTAATATTAATCAGTTAAAATTATTTAAATTTTTTTTTTTTAATAATATTATATATATAAAGAATTTATAATATCTTTAAAAAATAAGAATGTTTTAAATAAATTAAAAAAATAAAAAAAACAAAATTTTTTATTTATATATTTAATTAGTATTTTATTAGTTCTATTAATATGAACTATAAGCAAAAAATAAAAAATATAGAAACATAACTATCCACATATTATATTCAACATTAACTTTATAGATATCAATTTAAATATAATTTTTTTATTGTACCAATAATTTACTCCAAAAAAAAAAAAAAATATGTTCAAATATTTGTCTTATTATAAACATTCTACCTCTGTTGAAATGATATTTTATTTTTTTTTTAATATTCTCCGGAATACATAAATATATATATATATATTCTTTTTTTTTTTTTTTTTTAAATAATAATTAATTTTTAAAAGTACCAATTTATTTTATTTAGGAAATCTTATTCTATTATTTTGATTTTTATTTTATTAACTAGTTTTTATTTTTTCTTTTTTCTCTTTTTTTTTTGATAATCGCTAAATAAGTTTCTTTGTTTTATTGCTCTTATATATGATTGAATAATAATTGCTGCTTCATTATTTATATTTTCTTCTCTTTGAATTATTCTATTTCTTTTTTCAGTTAATTCTTTTAAAAACTTATTTTCTTCATCTTCCCTCTTCTTTCTCATTAATATAGTATCCAAATCGTTTTCAATTATTCTATTTTTTTTTAATTCATTACTCAATTTTTCTATTTCTGTTTAATAATCATAAATAATAATAACAAAAATTATATTATTTTTTTTTTATATATATATTGTTATATACTTATGTATATTTATTACCATTGTCCATAATTTTTATTTCTTCATCTATAGAGTCTATATAATTTTTTATGTCTAGTTCTAATAATTTATTCTTTTTAACTAAACCTACCTCTTGATCTTGATATGTTTTTATTTGATTTTCATATATATTTTTTGTTTTTTCAAATAAAATATTAATATTTTCCAAGTTATCTGAGGAGTCATTTGTAGGTATCATACTTAATAACTTTTTTATATTTTCTTCAGAGCTTTTTTTTAAATAATCTAGTTCTTTTTCTTTGTTTAACAAAATATCTTCTAATTCTTTTATTTCGTTTTGACTTTCTTTTCGAATTCTCTCTAGCTCTTCATTTAATTTCTTTTCTTCATCTTGTATTTTTTTTTCTTCTTCTTTTAATTCTTCTAGGCTATGAATCCTTTTTAGTTTTTCTTCTGCCGTTGTTTGAAACCTAATAAAAAAAATATCCTACAATAAAAAAAAAAAAAAAAAAAAGTAATAATTAAAATTATATTATTTTGTCAAAAAACTATTTTTTCTTTTTTTTTTTTTTTTAAGTAACTTTTAAATCATTAATGATGTGTAAAAATTTAAAAAAATCATGATTATCTTTATCATTCGATAAATTTAAAATTTCAAATAGATTATTATTTTCTTTTAATATTTTGCATAATACAAAGCAATATTTTTTTATTTTTTCTACTAATTCCTGATGTTCTATATAAAAAGGAAAATTTTCATTATCATTTGTTTTTTCTGTTTCCTCTTCTATTCTTTCTATTCGAATATGTTCATATAATTTATTTAATTTTATTATATCTTTAAAATATATAAGAAACTCTTCAGGCATAGTTTTCATTTCTTTATCGTTTAATTTTTCTAACACCTATTATTTCAAAAGTTATTTTCAAGATATATACATTTATAATTATTACTTTATTCATATACATTTTAATAATGAATTTTTTTATTCTAAAAACTAAATGCCTCTTGTGCTTCATTAAAGACATATGAACATTTCTTTTAGTGTCATTTACATTTTTTTTTATATACATATATATTTTTTTTTAATATAAACCTCTTCATTTATTAATGATAAACTAATCATTTTCTTCTCAAATATTTCAATAACATTATATAACCTTTTCGCATCAGTATCAATAAATTTTGTTTCTATCATTTTTCTTTAGAATTATGTTTTTAAATTAAATTTAATTAAAATTAAAAGAGATTCAATAAAACAGACAAAAAAAAAAAAAAAAAAAAAAAAAAAAAATAGTAGTAAATATTGCTAATTAAAATGTATAAAAAAATATTAAATTATTAAAGTTTAAAAAAAAAAAAAAAAGACTCTCATCATATATATAACATTAAAAAAGATATATTTTTACTGTATATTAANNNNAAAAAAAAAAAAAAAAAAAAAAAAAAAAAAAAAAAAAAATAGTAGTAAATATTGCTAATTAAAATGTATAAAAAAATATTAAATTATTAAAGTTTAAAAAAAAAAAAAAAAGACTCTCATCATATATATAACATTAAAAAAGATATATTTTTACTGTATATTAAGAAAAAAGGAATTATTTATTTATATATACATTTATATAAACCTATTTATTATTTTTTTTTTTTTTTTAATAAAAAACTATCATTTAAATTAAAAATTATTCATTAAAATATATTATTATTTATTAAATAAAGCTCTTCAAAATTCAAGTAAACCATTCAATTTGCTTTCCTCAAATGCATCTAAAGAAAAAAAAAAAAAATTTGTCTTAAAATCAATATCATATATTTTTCTTCATAAATAAAACGTCAGTATATAAACAAAAAAAAAAATAAAATGTATTTCATTTTTATATTTTATGTTAATAAAAAAATATATATATATATATAAATTTTTTATAAATTATGAATTGTTAATATAAAAAAAAAACAAAAAAAAAAAAAAATACAAATTTGCAAATTCATTAATACGTTTGAGAATTTCTATTCAATTTTCATAATTTTAATTATTTTAAAAAATAAAAAAAATTAAGTACTTTAAATGGATAATTATTTATTAAATATGTTGAATTATAAAAAAAAATAAAAATATAAAAAATTAACAAGGAAATATATAAATATAAAAATAGTATCATAATAATTAAAAAATATTAAATCAGTTTAAAAAGTTGTCATCAATCATTAGTTCAGAAGCAGAACTGATTATTTTCATCATTTTTAATATTTTTTTTTTTTTTATACTATTCTTAATATATATTTTCATAATTTCTTTTTTTATTGTTAACTTTATTATTTTTTTTATAATACCTTTAAAATAATAATTCCATTATCATTTGTTTACATATTCCTCTCCATATTAAGATTATTCAAAATAACATTTCTATGTACATATTTTTCTTATTATTGCTTTAGAAAAATAATTCAAATATACACACTGTTATATATAAATTTCTAACTATATTCTTGCTCAATCAATAAATATAAATTAGAATGAAACATAAAAAAAAAAAAAGCACCAAATGTAATAATTAAAAATGTTTTAAGGAATTGATACTAATTTCATATATTATACAATATTTTCTTCATCGTTTATTGTTAAATCTTTAATTTCTATAAAAAAAAAAAAAAAGTATATATATATATATATATGTAAACAATTAAAAAAATTAATAGAATTTCCTATAAGTTAATATTGTTAGAATATATAAATTTTTTTTAATTTTTAAAAATCATAAGAATTTTTATATCACAATATTCCTATAATAAATTATTTCATAAAACTCTCTATATATGTTTTTATATGAATATTACTTTTAATAAATGATGATGATGAATACATATGTTTTAATATTTCACTTGAAATTTGATGATGATTTTTTTTCTGAATTAAAACTTTTATTTTATCAAGATGACTTTCATCCAATAATTCTGTTAAAAAAAAAATATATTAAAATTTATTTTTTTTTTCATTAAAATAAATCATTTAAAATAAGATTAATATATTAAAAAATAATATATGTTAAATTTTCTTTTAAAATAAAGAAAATATTATTGAGAAAAAAAAAATTTTTTTATTATATCAGATAGGGATAACTGGTTTAACACTTTATCTTCAAAATAAATTTTTCAGATGCCAAGCGTATGCTTTCATCATTTAAATAAAAAAATTATTTTTTCTCAATTATTTGTATATATATTTAAATATATAATAAAAATTTACATACCTTTATAATTAAGAATAAGCATTAATAAGGCTTTATGCCAAACTATTGTTAAATGATTTTGATAATTCTGAAATTTAATAAAATATTCAACGCAACCTTCAATAAACTAAAAAGGAATATATAAATATACACAATATCATTGTCATTATAATATAATATTAAATAGATATTAAATAAATTTTATTTGAATAATATTTTCTTAAATGAATAAACACAGAATATAAAAAATATAATATATAACAATTATTTAAGAAAATGAATATTCTATTTTTTTTTTTTTTTTTTGGTCATTACTTGTTTAGGAAAAGAATATTTTTTATTAAAAAAAATGCATAAAAAATATCCTATAGTAGAATTCCATGGGAATTTAAAAATTTCATTTAGTCCACATATTACAGAGTTAACTGATATACTCATCTTTTGAACTACACTTCCAATGATTATCATCTGCTTTTTTGTACATTCCTATATTTAAAAAAAAAAGAAATTGAAAAAAAAAAAAATATTATGAAAAAAATTAAAAATCACTTATAAATAATAATAAATATAAACAATTATATATTAATAAAAGATAATATATCTATATTATTTATCTATTTATCAGTTTGGGGCAGTACTAAATGTCTTCATTATTTTATTATTTCAGACAATACTAATCATCATATTAAATAGTTCTTTTATTATAATATTTTCTTTTTTTTTATAAATATTTTTATTTAAATTAATAAAATTAATATTACAAATATAAATATATATATATATATATTCTTTTCATTACATTTTGTAATAATGGAAACAAAATTCCTTTAAACCATGCATTAGACTTATATAATGCTTTAATTAAAGTTTTATAAAGAAAAGAATCTAATTTTTTGTTTTGATCAATGTTTTCTAAAATAATTGGTAGTAATATGAACTCATAAAATTTGCAAACATCTGCTTCTTTTAATCCTGAAGAAAATAGTTTTGTTGCTTCAAAAGTGGCTTGTGTTGTCCATTTCTTTGGTTTTGTTAACAACAAAAGCTCAAACCATTTTGGTGATTTTGTTAAAATTTTGAAGGCTCTGTGCAACTTTCCTTTCTTATAATTTGCTAATTCTTCACCAATTGTTTTATAACATTTTTCAACTAATGGATCAATTTTATCTCTCTTGAAAAAAATAAAATAATATAAAGTATATTAATAAAAAATAAAATAAAATAAAAAAAAAAAAAAAAAAAAAAAAAAAAAAAAAAAAAAAAAGTAACTTTTGTATTATTATATATGCATATATTATAATTTGACACTAAATTAATACAAAAAAAAATTATATATTTTTTTATATTTTCTAAATTATTTTTAATTTTGTGTACAAAATTGTACTGCATAAGATGTTCAAAAATTAAACATATTATGCCCTGATCTTTGTATAAATTTTGTTTTAAGCAATTTTTTCTTATTTTTTTTTTTGTATTTTATAAATAAAAAATACAAAAAAACTATATATATATATATATATATATATATATATATATATATATATATATTAAAATTGCTCGTAACAAAAAAAATAATTTAATGTTTATAACTATTTTTTTTTTTTTTTTTAATTTTTATTTTAAATATATTATTACTTGTTCCTCTTGTTTTAATTCTTCTTTTTCTTTTCTTCCAATCTCATTAGAAATTTCCTTATTTACTTTTATATCTAATTCTTCAAATATATCATTAGATTCATCTATTTCATTAAAATAATCTTCCTTCTGAAAATCTAATTTATTATTCATTTCATTTAAACTTACATCTGAATTTTCATAAATGTCATCATCAAACTCTAAAAATTTGTCAGATTCTCGAATGTTTTCTTCATCTATATCACTTATATTATAATCTAAGTGTTCTTCATTTTGTTCATTAGCTAAATTTAAAATTTTATTGAAGTCATCTTTTTTTTTTTTTTTTGGTTTTTTTTCTTTTCTCTTTTCTTTTTTCTTTTTTTTAAATATTTTATTTTTTGTGACTATATCATTTTTTAAATCTTCTTCAAATGTTTTTAGATGTTTATTTTTCTTTTTTATCTTTATTTTTGTCATTTATAAAAAAATTAAATATAAAAATACATACAAACCTTCTAATATATATAGTTAATTTAAAATAATTAAAATTATAAATTATGTTTTAATATATTAAAACAAATATTTAATAAAAAATATTTATATGGCTCATATAAACAAAAATTTTTATAAGAATATAAGAATATACATAAAATTAATCTACATTTGCTGTGAATCACATTAATAATAGTAGTAAACAATAACAAAAATGTAACTCATAAAAAATGTTTTAACTTAAAAGTTTTATAATTTTATTAATTTTAAATTAAAAATGTATAATTACATTAAAAATGTTATATTTAAAAAAAAAAAAAAAATATAAATGAAAAAACAAATAATAATTTAAAAAAAAAAAATAAAAATACATATATGTTTCAGAAATAATATATCCATATATTTTTTTTTTTTTTAACACTTGTAAAAATATATGTGATAAAGGTTACAACAATTAACGAAAAAAAAAAATATATTTATGTAATAAAAGAAAAAATATTTTAAGTATTCCTATATAAAAAAAAATTATCAAATAAAAATACATATACTAAAAAAAAAAAAAATGATTACATAAAAGGAATGAATATTTTTATTTTTAATATTTTTCTAAAAATAAATATATTTTTTTTTTTAAGTATTTTTATTTATCATTTTTTTTTTTATTATTACATTTTGAATTATGAATATTTAAAATTTTTTTTTTTTTTTTTTTTTTTTAACTAGCTAAAAAAAATTAATTTAATAGTAGCAATAAAAGTGGTTAATTTTATTTTTATTTTTTTTTAAGAAAAATTTTTTACTTGTATTTTTTCAAAAAAAAAAAAAAGTAAAATAAACAAAATAATGGAAATACGGTGTTTAACCAACATTTCAAGCAACATCATTGTATGGTTGTTATGAATCTATCGTTCATTTATAAATTATTGTATTATATGGTATCATATATATTCATTATTTTATTTTTATTTTATGCAAATAACAAATAAAATTTATTTTTTCATTTTATCAACTATAATTAAATATCACTCAAATTGTTGTTTAATCTCTTAATGTAATATTTTTATTTTTTTGGTTCATACAATCTAAAACATTTTTACGTTAAATTTAAAATAGTTGAAAAAGCCATTTATAATTTATATGTAACAACATTATTTAGTTATGTTTGTAAATGTAAAAATTTATTTTTGTTTTAATAAATATTATTAGAAATACTTAAAAAAAAAATACTTTTTAGAAGAGATGAAATTTTTATGGCATAAATCCACCAGGAATATATAAAAATGAATATTGAATACTTACTGAAATTTTTAAATATATTCTTAAGATTAAAGTAATATTTTATTACATATGAACATCTTGTATCATTCGAAATTATGTTTTACATAAACGTTTAAGTATTATTATTCATTAAAATAATAAGTTATATTTTTCTGTTTTTTTTTTTTTTTTTTTTTTTTTTTTTTATTATACAATTATAAATTAATTTTTTATGCATAATATATTATGATACATTAAAAAGTTATTTTTTCATAACTTTTATCATATATATATAGGTGAATATGTAAATAT